CCCTTCCCCCAGCTCGGGCCTACGAGCCCAAGTCCCCCTGTCCGACACCTCAGATAAATGACATGACTCTTATTACTGAGTGGAACACTTACGCCTATTTATCGTTGACAAAAACAAAGCAATATGTCAGAAAACAATCGCATTATGATTTTAATTGAGCTTCATGTAGGCCTAAGTAAAAAGACATAGATTATATAATAATAATCATTCATTCATTATTTTAATGATTAATTATATATTATATTACAATAATTACCTCGGGTTGCCAAAGAATACGGAGTCTAAAGGTTAAGTGGGTCGCCACCTGAAATAATTTGAAAAGCAGGGGTTTCAGTGCTATGTTACCGTACCTACTTATTTCCGTATAAGGTTTTTAGGGGCTATGTACGCAGGCGCGGATCGTAGGGGATAGGGGGAACGTCCCCCCATCCCGTTTTTCCCTTAAATTTTTTAATGTCTATGCATATCAATGTAATGTATGGAAATAGCGGTCTCACTTTTGTCTATTCTGAAAATGTTGTGTGCCCCACCCCATATCCCCGTTTGAAAAATTCTAGATCCGCCTTTGGTACATTGTTTTCTCAATTATTACAGAGAAACTACAATTGCTGAGATGACAAATTTGTCAAAAAACCTTGCCACCTGTTATTTAAAAAAAAAAAAGATATTTTGATGATCCGCCTATTGAATATTTTAAACTCACTGTTTTCAAATTGGTGTTTATAGCAGATTTCGTTGATGGAGGCCTACAGGTGGCCATTCGAAATTTGTGACAGGTGAAGCATGTTGTTCATGAAAATGTTTTTTCCTTGTCATGTTTTTCGGGGGCTACCTTCCTCATCAGCAGCATTACTACTTGTGTTTATTTCCTCTATACTTAAGAATTTCATGTTTTGTTTTATTATTTTGTTAATAACGTGTTTACTTGCCACCGATCTAAAGATGTATGCTCTAATAAAAAAAATATTAAAATAAAAAATATTAATTCATCCAAGTTTTTTTTTTATATTTACGTTCTATTATAAGGCTGTAATTTTTTTTGTCTATTTCTATTCTGCTTCCTCTTTTATTTACTTCTTATTATTATAAGGTTGTATTATTTCATTTTCTATTCTGCTTCGTACTTCTACTTCTTCTAAATCATCTATTTCCACGTCTTTTTCTTCATCTTCTTCCACGCCATCTTCTTCCAAATCATTTACTTCCATTCCTTCATTTTCTTCTTCACCTTCTCCTGTGAATGTTCGCAAAAGTATTTTTGCTCCACGTCCAACTGCAGCACCTGCAGTAGCAGCAGCTCCTATGCCTTGCGCACCTAATCCAGCAGCCCCTATCGATTGCAGTACAGCAACGGTACTCCCAGCTGCAACTCCTCCTCCGTTAGCTACGGCTGCAGCCGACATGAGATGTGCTCCAATAGATCCAGCTGCAATTCCAGCTCCAGTAAAACCCAAAACAACAGGAGCAGCTGCAACAGCTGCAACAGTAACTGTAGCTCCTGCTACTAAATCCATACCTATCATGAATGAAAATGAAATTATATGTTTAGGCAAATAGCTGATAACATATTTTTAACTTACATTTTTTATAACATCGTTAGGATTAACATTTCCGCTTGGTTGTAAAATTAACTTTCATCTCAACTTGGTTGCTTTTAGCAAAATTCTTTGTTGACCTAGTGGAAGGTGCATGGTGATCAAAATTTTGTGATTTTTTTTCATAGCAAGGTCAGATGATGTGATTTAATGCCCTTTGTAAGGCAAGTTTAATGGTGTTACAACAACGTCTTCGGAATGTTAGTTTTAACAAAGATATAAAGAATATCATTTACGGACTGACCCTTTTTGAGTGCAATTTAGTTTTAATTTTCATATTTTATGTCATTGATGACAGAGAAAAAAATCAAAATGTAACAAAAAGAGATAGAAATAAAAGTGGGTGAAATTCTTACGAAAGAGGAAAAAAAGAATATCGTTTTTTACAGTATAAAGACGAGTGTAATATTTTAGATGGGTCAAAACCAACGATGTTCCTGACTTTCTGTATACTTTGAACAACTTTAATGGTCTGAAAGTAAATCGCTGCAAGATTAGTTCATTCTGGTTTGGCACTTCAGGAGTCAGACTCTGTCATCAGATTATTGTATGTAAATACAACATGACATAACAAAATATACAATGATACAGTAAAAAGGAGTTTCCAGGAAGGAATAGAAGTGAAAAGAAGCTACTGTCATCAAGTAGATGTATTTATCCACCTTTAATCTGCTAAACACTAATTGAAACTAATATAAAATTACAAAAACTACAATTAAGACAAATATGGAATTAAGTAATATATGCACATAAATCAATTATATAAAACTTAAATTAAATTGCTCTAAAATGAGAGTAGCCCTACAAAATAAATATCAATAAAAAATAAGGACATGGAACTAAAATAATAATAAAATATAGATAGACGTAACTATGGATCTGTAACTTAAATGGTTAAGAATCTCTTATTCGAGAATACAGGTGTCCATTTCTGTAATAAAATTGATAACACACAAAAGCTGTAAATTATATGAAAGTGTATTTATTTTATTTAAAAATGATAAATCTGTAGTCTAAAAAGTATCTATACTTACTCAAAAATTATTATGACATTGTCAGATCCACCATCTGATATTATTGAGGAATTTAACAAAATAATAAATTTAATTATCATCTGGAAAGGTGTGCTATTAAGATCGCGTCTCTTTGAAGCAATTTACTAAGAAGAGTATATTTGAAAACAGTTTAAGGTTTTTTTTTAAAACAAATCACATAGGTAAGAGGACTAATTGATTGTGCCATTTTTTAAAACTCTCCTGACAAGATTATACATTTTGAGTGTTGATTATATGATATTTTGAAGCATAATACAAAATTTAAAAAAAAAACAACAAACAAATTCTTGATTAATAAGACATAAAAAGTCAAAAATATTATTAGATTAACTATAAATTATTCTCATAAAAATAAAGAGCTGCTGGCTATATTTTTTTATCCACTTTAAAATGACTCAAACATCTTGGCAGGGAGGGCCGGGCGGCATTAATTTTTCCCATATAGTTCAAGAAGGCAAAATTATTGAGGGTGCTAATTAATGTTATTTATGTGAACAGATAACATGAGTATGCATGCTTGACTTTTGGACTATTGTAATAATAATATCCCTATGACACTGTTTACGTACATCATGGTCTTTGAAAGTATAAAAAGCAGTACGTTAAATTTGTCGGTTATTTGAGTACGTTAAATTTGTCGGTTATTTGAGTAGTAGCAGTAGCAGTAGCAGTCGCCGTCGCCGTCGCCGCGGCGGCGGTGGTTGTGGAGGTGGTGGTGGTGGTGGTGGTATCAAAACTATCAAAAAAATCCTTAAATTCTACCAGCAATATGCAAAAGGCTATAGCAAAAACGCTCACTGTCTATAATTCGCAGTATTTTTTTTCTCATAAAATGTTTTTATTGTAAAATTATAACTTAACAACTGTGTCCGAAATACTCGTAAGTTGCCTCCGAGAATTACTAAACGTTTATATTCATCAGATAAAGGCATATATTTGCTACAAACAACACATGGGCCTATAACTATACTGCACTTAAATAGCCAGATTCAATATTACAGTACTGTGCTTTTTTTGCACTTTGAAAGCAGTGGCGGCTCCATGATATATTTTCTTGGGGGGGGGGGGCTAAGTCGTCCGACAGCGGGACTTGAGCTCGTTGGCTCGAGCTGGAGGAAGGGGTTGAGAGGAGGTTTTCCGAAAATGGCACTCTCAGACTGTGACAGACATGTGTTGACTTGGTGTGGGCCTATTTTTATTTTTATTTTTTTAAATATGTTTTATGGTCTGACTGCCCGACGAGCTCTGTCAGACGGGGGGCTTGACCTGTCCGGTGGGGGCTTAAGCCCCCTGCCCCCCCCCCGCTGGCGCCGCCACTGTTTTTAAAGACCATACTGTAGGCCTACATAAACTGTGTCTAGTCATTTCAACTATAATCCATTAATGTTCACACTCTCTTGACTGCCAAGCCTATTTAAGACATTTTGGCCTACGCCGTAGCATTCATCCACGCATAACCACGGCAGCTTGATACACCACTGAACTCTGTTTCGCGAGGGGAGGTCAGACATGCGTATTCATGTTTATCAGTTCACCTAATTGACCAAAAATAGCGCCCGCTATAATTTCTGCCTTAACGGTATAAGAAAAAAAATAATGCCTCCGGTCGGGCAAATCCTGGCACCACCCTTGTCCTGGCGATCTGGAGTGACAGATCCGAGAATTCAAATTAGAAGATGGGAGGGAGGGGCTTTCACATAATAGGCCTATGTAGGGTCTATAGCACATCAGCCCGACCATGGTGGGGGTCAGAATGACCTCGAATGAAATATTGTAGTTCATTGAAAAGATTTTGAATTCTGAGAGTCTGGGTATGGTTCTAATGTAAAATATGACAATTATGTAATTTTTAGGATACCATACAATATTTGACCTAGAATTACCTTAAATGACCTATTTGTGGCAATCTGACCAGGTCAAAAATGGTATGATTGTATTCCTTGACCATATAAAAATAGTTTCAGACGTTAGAATTATAATTCCAAGTGGTTTAGAAGCGGAAATATAGATAAACATAGGTTTTATTAGGCGGCCATTTTGAAATCCAAGATGGCCGCCATAATGACCTCGGATGAGGTGGTTCCTACCAAAAATTGAATGCTATGACCATAAGGAGCATGTAAAAAAAAATTGGTGCTTTTGTCCGGAACGTCCACATCCATCTGCTAAGCTGCCGGACTAATTGTTTTAACAAGTACTATGAATTGTAACGGTATTTTTGTATAACTATAATGAGACTGTGAACTCACACTTCGCGATGTTAAATAACGGTTCATCTTCGCGGGTAAAATTTATATTTTTCAGTAATTTTACGTTCGCCGTTATAATCGTAAAAAAAATGTCTGTTATTTTACGTTTACTGAAATCCAATTTACTGTAAAAATAACGTAACTACAGTAAAATTGTATTTTAATGGTATCTTGTATAATAAGAATACGATAGGTTGTTGATTTGTTGTAGCCTAAATTACCGGTATCATATCGTTTTTCTACAGGTTAAAATCGCCATTGTGTTTTAACGTCAGAGCTCGAAATTTACTCTATAAATTGGTGTAAATTTACCTACCTAAACCGTTAAGTATTGTACAGTATTAAGAAAGAAAAGGAATTGGTATGTGAATATACGATGAATTCGTAAATTTAACGTGTTTGCTGGTTAATTTTACGCCGTCACATCACTGTTATCCGTAGTTTAACAGGTCAGAATCAACATTAAGTAAATGAACATCGGAGCTCGTAATGCTAAGCGTAATTTTACAATTTCAAAACTTCTTTTAAATAAAAAGTAGGCCTACTAGGCCTAGGCATACGTATAACGGTGTATTTTTGTAACACTGGTGATACTGTGAATTAAACGCTGACATTATTCTGCTAATGTCATAATATTTCACCTACTATAGTATTAAATTGGCGTAAAGGAGGCCTATTCGACCTTGATCGTGTCAAATATTTTGGAATTCCTTGACAATTATATATTTTTAAACATTGTTCAGGGGCGTACGGTGAAAAATCTAAGGGGGGGTCGAAACGAAAACGCAGGGGGCAAGCTGAACTCGGAGGAATTTAGCGAAGCTTTCAGAACTCGCGGGGTGCGTTATTTGTGAGTGAAGCGAGCAACTAGGCTGAAGCTAGGGGGCCGCAAAAGGAGAACAATTTACGTTTTTACGTTCTAGTGCATTAAGTTCAATATCAAGTCTGACAAAATAGGCCTAATTGTAAACGTAGTTTTTGGGCAACACCAGACTATATTCACTCAATATACCACCAGCCTATTGGATTGCGGAACTCCTGAATACGGGCCTGTGAGCATTTCATATTAAAGAATTAAAAAAAGGGGTTTTTTTTTCTTTTTCGTGGGATCGTCCCACTTTTAATTTTTCTTAAAAATAAAGTTATAAATGTATATACTGTATTGAAAAATAAACAATGATATAGGGAACATATAATTACTTAAAGTAACATTTTGTATG